GGGGGGACTTTAACAAAAAGTCAAAAAAATTAACTAGTAAATTTATTATAAGGTTTATGTGTGTTTGGGGGGAACGGTTCTTGGACATTTGCCCTTTTTCACCCTGGCAGGATTTTATGTTGGAAAAAGATTTATTGGGCCTTTTACAAGTGGGACCCACTGATTCCATGAAGTAAGCCAAGGAAAATTAATTGTAGTTTGAAATTTGATTCTGTTAAAAAAACTTCCTGTTTAAAAAAGGTGCCCCCAGGGGACCCGCGTTGTTTCAGACGCAGGGGAGGAGGAATGGTTCTGTTAATTTATTTATGTTAAAATTTTCAAAATTTAAACAATTATTACAAAAAACAATTTTTAACTCCAAAACACCGGGAACTTCTTATTTTGACATAGGTAAACAAAAAAATTTAATTGTTTTGGGGAGCAAATATGGGTTTTATTAATAAAATTCCCAAGGGAAAAAAATTGGGGATCCCATCGAAAGGAATTTCCCAATCCTATTTGCTATTTTAGAAACCATTGGAATTCAGGGGGGGGTCGATGGACGGCTGAGAGGGGGTTTTCCCACCACGGGGGGAGCGGGGAGTAATTCCAAGGTTGAAAAGGTATTGCGGCTTTTCTACGTGTTTGGAGTTTATGGGGAGTTTTTATTTCATTTGCATCTATTTAAATTTGGGTTTTAAACTCCTTTTTCACAAAAGCCCTCACTGTTTTATCTGCGGAAGTTATTTTTCTACGGGATTTTTGTTGCTTTAAAAAAAACAGGGAGGTTTTTTGTCACATTCAAAAAAATAAATCCAGGGACCAAAAAGGCACCATGTTCCTATTATAATCTCTGTGTTTCTTGGCTTTTCATTTTACGCCCAACATAAAAAACTTTTAACCGCACGGGGCTCTGTCTTTTCAAGCTTCACCCAGAAAGCGCGCTTCCCACGGTTTTCGGGGCCGCGAGCACGGCAAAAATAACAAGTGTCCCCACATATTCTTCAATGCCCACTGAATTGCAATTCAAAAAGGTTTATATTGGGTCAGTGGGCCCATGGTCTGGGTTGGGTTTTCTCCTGCCTCTGTTTTCTGCGACCTTAACCACCACTGTCCCAGGTCATTGCGGGGGGAATGGAATCTCTCTTGGTCAGTCACAATATCCATTCAACTGCATTTTACTGGTTTGGCTTCCATCGAATAGCGTGGATTTACTGACCAGATGTCACCAGTTGATGCTTCAATTGGACTTTGACCCAAGAAGGTGTTGTTTTTTTATTAATCTTTCACAGTCGTTTAGGGATAAAAAAACTTTAAATAGAGGGGGGCTTCTGAAAGGGCGGGGGGGAAATTTATAATCCACAAAAAACGAAGGAGTGGGGACCGTATGGCATTTTTTTTTAAAGCGGATTATAAAACCAACAAAAAACAATTTATTGGGCTTGGCTTGTACTTTCATGGATGTGGTCCCCACTGGGTTATGGTAGGGCAAAAAAATCTTTAACTTATTTAAAATTCTGCAGGGTAGAGGGATTGGTGGACCCATGGTCATGGAATCTATGAATAGGGATTGGACCAAAGAGGGGACGTTTCCAGGGGGGGGGGAAAAAAACAAAATTAACATTACGTAATTTGGCCATGGTTGGTCAGTTGAAAACTCGTTAAAATTTTGGGGGGGACTTTGAAAGTCGAAAATTTGAGTTTTAAAGTCGATAAATTTAGACTTTTCTGTTAGGGGCCTTTGTTTTTTTTTTTTTTTTACCATGGCGGGGGGAAAAGGGGAAACGGGGGGGTTCATTTACCTTTAGCCCCCCACCACACAATTGCACCACTCAAAAACAAAAACAATAAATGTACAAACTTATGAATCAACTGCTAAAAACCTGCCTTAAACAACAAATTCTGATTATAGATTATCGACGGAGGTCTGCGATAGGAGTCCTCCAAAAAAACATAAAAAAAGAAAATAAAAACCCTCTCTATTTCTTCGTGTTTCTTTCTGTGTAACTTGGGGGGGGGGAATTTAGTTTTAAAAAACATGTTAATGTATGTTTTTGTGCCAGGTTAGCAAAAGAAATTGTGTGTAAAAGCCCACTTTTTACACAATAAAATTAAAGTTGCTATTTTTGGAATCTAACACTGGTCTCCAAAATCTATAAGGATGCCCTGGTAAAAAGGGGAAAAAAAAAAAATAATTGCAGGATCATCCAAATCCATCCATCCATTTTTTTTTCTTAACCATTTAAATCAATTTCTGGGTTCCAGGGGGGGTGGGGCAAATTCAAAGAAGATGCCACCCAAAGGTCCTCATAGCACCAGGGGGCCCCTCACAGGGACACTCTGCAGGTGTGGGAGTTCCCACAGGGGGGGAGGGGGAAAAAAGGTTTGCTCTCTGGAGTTGTGAAGGCATAGGCCTTGATCTTTTTCAGGGGGGGGGGCTTTGGGGGCAAAAAAGTGGGGGTTAATGTGGTCTTGGGGGCCCAAGGGGACCAACAACGGACCAAGCAGTTTCATTCAGTGGGGGGAAAGTTCGGTGGAGAAGGTGCGAGGGGGTGGAAAAAAAAAAAGAAAAACCCCACGGGGACCTTTCAGGGGTCCTGAAAAGGTCCAATGCTCTACCATGGAAAAAATACTGTCGGGCCCCCATTAATTGAGGATCCAGTTTGTGTTAAAAAATTTGGGGGGAGAACTGATTTTAATAAGATATCGTGGGAAAATATCGGTTATCGGAAGTTAGGGGTAAAGAAAAATATCGAGAATATATTATTTTTTCCCATAACATAGTTTTTATTTTCTTTTCTGTTTGATAACCCGAAAAAAACAATTTTTATTCATTTAGGCCATTCTTTCTCAGTCAATTTAAATCTGGGGGTAGAACCCAATTTTACAGAACTTTTTAAAAGGTCCCATATTAATTATAGTAAGTTTTTATTTTGGATTTCCTCAAGGCTTTAAGTTAGAAGAGGCCAATCTTTCTTGTTCATTGTTCAAAGGGAAGGTAAAAAAAGAGGGGTTTCGTTGTGTCAAAATTTTCATTTTTACGGGTTTTTGTCAAAAAACCATTTGTTGATGGGTCCAAAAAAAAGCCTGCCCTCAAACGGAGGTGTTGACAGCGGAGGAAGGAAAAACTGAAACCAAGCGAAATCAGGCACCAGTCTATGGATCAGCGCATTTGCAAACCCTCTCTCCGTGTTACAGTAAATTTGCAATCTGTGTTTTTGTGGTTAGCAGTTTCAAACCTTTGGGAGGGAAAAAAAAAATGTGATTTTTATGTGTAAAAAAATAATTTTTGTGGGACAGTAGTTGGCTTGAAGAACCGGAGGGGGAATGAGGGAAAAATGGGGGGGGATCGAACTTTTGTTTCACAAGGATTTGCTATTGGAATGTAATGATTACATTTTTGGCTTCTGTCAACCCAGGCCAGTACCCAGGTTGGCTGAGTAAGTGGGTTAGTTACTTTCCGGGCTTTCTCCAAAAAGAAAGGTGTCTGAGATATTTGATTTCCAACCTCTTAGGAGGAGCCCATTCTGAATTTTGGTTTGCCTAATTCTCTCCATTGTCTGTGTAAGGTTGCCTCCTGGTCCTCTAGGTTTTTGGGGGCAGCACTAAAAACCAAGTACAAAATAGGGACCCGGAAAATAAAAAAACTGGAAAAAAGGAAGGAGGGGGGGACCACTCTCCCCACTTTTCAGCTCTTAGTTCAAAATATTGGAAAAATTGGACTCAGGGGGGCCACCTGCCAAAAAACGATTAATGGCTTTTTTAAATTAAGGATGTAAGGGGAACAGCTTTGGGTCATGGTTTATGGATTTGTTTACAATTATATTTTTTTTGGGGTTTTACAAAAGTAACAAATCGAAAAAAAGGTGGGTATAGCTTTTAAAATGGACTTTTTTTTTAACCTCAAAACAAAAAATTAAAAATTGGGGACACCAAAATTTTTTTTACTGTTAAACGTATCCCAAAATATCTAAATTCTTGACCATTGGGAATTATTGTTTTATATTTATATATTGGTTATTTATAATTTTAATATGTATTTAATGATCTTAAAACAAAAAAAAATTTTAATAACATTTTATAGGGAAAAAAATTGTATTTTTTTTATTGGGGGGGGGCTTATCTGAATTATTTTTGTTTTAAAAATGGATTGAAGTGAAAATAATATTGGCATTTGCATGACAGCTTCAAAAATTTATTTTCAACATGTTTTGGTGCTGTTTTTTAAATGCAGTGGTTACCATCGTTTACCGCTTACAAACTTTGTAAATTCCTTTTTTTTTAAAATGTTGTATTTTAAAAAAAAAGCCTTAAGTAAGGCAGGCATTTGGCAAAAATCTTGCGGCGGGGGAGAGCGGGGCATTTACCAGCTCTCTACCAAGGGCGGTTAGACAAAAAAAAAGGGGACAGTCCACGTAGTATCCAAAAGGCCCCCAACAAGTTGTGAATAAACAAGGTGGGGGTGTTGTGGGGAGGGAAATCCGCCCTGAGAGGGGAATTTTTTACAACCGAAACGGGGCCTGAACCCACTTGGGGGGGGCCTAGGCAACCATTTTAGACTGTAAAAACTAGCTAGCCCCCCAATTCTTAGAAAGCTTTAGGGGAATTGTTAAGCTTTAGGAGCACAATACTCTACCAGTCTCAAAACCACTTGGGGGGCCGGGTTATCCCAAGATTTAGGCACAAAATAATAAACACCCAAACGAACACGAACATTGCTCAAAAAATTTTTTTACAATACAAAAAGTTTTTCATGATGGTTGAATTTTGATTGAAACCCTGATCCCACAAGGGGGAAATATGAAAAAACAATTCCAGCATATGTGATGGGGGATTACCCATCCATTTTCGCCACCACATTTGATTGGTGTTTCTAAACCCCCCTCCCACCCCCTCCCCCCCCCCCCCCCCCACACCCACCCCCCCCCTCACCCCCCCAACCCCCCACCCCCCCCACCCCCCCTCCCTCCCCCCCCCCCCCCCCCCCCCCCCCCCACCCACACCCATCCCCCCCCCCCCCCTCACAACCCCCCGCCCCTCACCCCCCCCCCCCACCCCCCCCCCCCCCCCCCCAACCCCCCTCCCCCCCTCCCCCCCCCCCCCCACCCCCCCCTACACTCCCCACCGCCCCCCTCCTCCCCCCCCCCCCCCCCCCAACACCCGCTACCCCCACCCCCCACCACCACCTCCCCTAATACCCCCCCCCCCCCCCTCCCCCTCCCCACCCTCCCCCCCTCCCCCCCCCCCCACCCCCCCCCCCCCCCCCCCCCATCTCCGCCCCCCCCCCACCACCCCCCCCCTTCCCCCCCCCCCCCACCCCCACCCCCCCCCCCACCCCCCCCCCCCCCCCCCCCCTCCCCCATCCCCCCCCCCCCCAATCCCCCCCCTACCCCCCCCCCCCCCCCCCCACCCACACCCCCCCACCCCCCCCCCCCCCACACTCCCCCTCCCCCCACACCACCCCCCCCCCACCCCACCCTCCCTATCCCCCCCCCCCCCCCCCCACTCTCCCCCCACCCCCCCCCCCCCCCCACACCCCCCCCCCACCCACCACTCCCCCCCCCCCCCCCACCCCCCCCCCTCACCTCCAACACCCCACCCCCCCACCCCCCCCCCCCCACCCCCCCCCCCCCCCCCCCCACCCCAACCCACACCCCACCCCCCTCCCCCCCCCCCCCCCCCACCCCACCCCCCCACCCGCCCCCACCCCACCCCCCCCCCCCTCCCCCCACCCCCCCCCCCCCCCACCCCCCCCCTACACCCCCCACCAACCCCCCCCCCCCTCACCCACCCCCCCCCCACGCTTCACCCACCCCCCCCCCCCCACCTCCCCCACCCCCCCCCCCCCCCCCCCCCCCCCCCCCCCCCTACCCCCCCCCCCCCCCCCTCCCCCCCCTCCCCCCCACCCCTCCCCCCCCCCCCCACCCCCCACCCCACCCCCCCCCCCCCCTCTCCCCCCCCTCACCACCACCACAAACCCCCCCCCACCCCCCCCCCACTCCCCCCTCCAACCCCTCTCACCCCACACCCCCCACCCCCCCTCCCCCCTCCCCCCCCACCCCCTCCTCCCCCCCCCCCACTCCCCCTCTCCCCCCCCTCCCCCCTCACCCCCCTACCCCCCCCCCCCCACCCCCCCCCCCCTCCCTCACCACCCCCCCCCCTCCTTCCCCACCTCCACCCCCACCACCCTCACACCCCACCACACCACCCCCCCCCACCCCCCCCCCCCCCCCCCACCCCCCCCCCCACCCCCCCCTCCCCCTCCCCCCCCCCCCCCCCACCATACCCACACCCCCCAACCCTCCCACCACACCCCCCCCCCCACCCCCCCCCACCCCCCCACCCCCCCCCCACCCCCAACCCCCCAACCCTATTTTATATCCCTCCACCACCCTCCCCCCCACCCCCCCCCCCCCCCCCCACCCCCCCCCCCACACCCCCATACCCCACCCCCCCCCCCCCCCCCCCCCCCCACCCTCCCACCCCCCCCCCCCCCCCCCCCCCCCCCCCCCCCCACCCCACCCCCCCCCCCTCCCCCCCCCTCCCCCCCCCCCCCATCCCCACCCCCCCCCCCCCCCCCCCCCCCCCCCCCCCCCCACCCCCCCCCCCCCCCCCCCCCACCCCCCCCCCCCCCCCCCCCCCCCCACCCCCCCCCCACCCCCCCCCCCCCACCGACCCCCCCCCCCCCCCCCCCCCCCCACCCCCCCCCCCCCCCCCCCCCCCCCCCCCCACCCCCCCCCCCCCACACCCCCCCCCCCCCCCACCCCCCCCCCCCACCCCCACCCCCCACCCCCCCCCCCCCCCCACCACCCCCCCCAACCCCCCCCCCCCCCCCCCCCCCCCCCCCCTACCCCCCCACCCCCCCCCCCCCCCCCCCCCCCCACCCCCCCCCCCCCCCCCCCCCCCCCCCCCACCCCCCCCCCCCCCCCCACCCCCCCCCACTCCCCCACCCCCCACCCCCCCCCCCCACCCCACCTCAACCCCTCCCTCCCCTCCCCCCCCCCCCCCCCCCCCCCCCCCCACCCTCCCACCCCCCCCCTCCCCCCCCCCCCCCCACCCCCCCCTCCCCCCCCCTCCCCCCCCCCCCCCCCCCCCCCCACCCCTCCCCCCAACACCTCCCCCATCCCCCCCCCCCCCCCCCCCACCCTCCACCCCCCCCCCCCCCCCCCCCCCCCCCCCCCCCCCCCCACCCCCCCCCCCCCCCCCCACCCCCCTACCCCCCCCCCCCCCCCCCCCCCCCCCCCCCCCACCCCCCCCCCCCCCCCCCCCACCCCCCCCCCCCCCCCCCCCCCCCCCCCCCCCACCCCCCCCCACCCCCCACCCCCCCCCCCCCCCACCCCCCCCCCCCCCCCCCCCCCAACCACCCCCACACCCCCCCCCCCTCCCCCACCCCCCCCCCCCCCCCACCACACACCCTCCCCCCCACCCCCCCCCCCCACCACCCCCCACCCCCCCCCCCCCACCCCCCACCCCACAACCCCCCCCCCCACCCCCCCACCCCCCCTCCCCCACCCCACCCCCTCACCCCCCCATCTCCCCACCCCCCACTCCCCCCCCACCCCCCCCCCAACTCACCACCCCCATCCCCCCCCTCTCCCCCCACCCTCCCCCCCCCACCCCCCACCCCACTCAACACCCACCCCCCCACACCCCCCCCCTCCCCCCCCCCTCCCCCCCCCCCCCTCCACCCCCCCCCCCCGCCCCCCCCCCCCCCCCCCCCCCCCCCCCCTCCCCACCCCCCCCCACCCCCCCCCCCAACCCCCCCCACCCCCCCCCCCCACCTCACCCCCCACACCCCCCCCCCCAACCTACCCTCCCAACCTCTCCCCCCCCCCCCCCCCCTCCCCCCCCCCCCCCCCCCCTTCCCCCCCCCCCCCCCCCCTCCCACCCCCTCCCCCACCCCCCCCCCCCCCCCCCCCCCCACCCCTCCCCATAACCCCACCCTCCCAACCCACACCCCCCAACAATCCCAACCCCCCCCCCCCCCCCCCACCCCCCCCCCCCCCCCCCCCCCACCCCCCCCACCCCCACCCCCCCCCCCCCCCCCTCCCACCCCCCCCCCCCCCCCCCACCTCCCCCCCCCCCCCCAACCCCCCCCTCCCCCCCATCCCCCAACCCCCCCCACCCCTCCCCACCCCCCCCAACCCACCCCCCCCCCCACACCCCCCCCCCCCCCACCACACCCCCCTCCCCCACCCCCCCCCCCCCCCCCCCCCCTCCCCTACCCCCCTCCACCCCCCCCCTCCCCCCCCCCTCCTCCCCCCACTCCCCCCCCCCCACCCCACCCCCCCCCCACTCCCCTCCCCCCCTCCCCCCCCCCCACCCAACCCCCCCACCCCCCCCCTACCCCACCCCCCCCCCCCCCCACCCCTCCCTCCCCCCCCCCCCACCCCCCCCCCCCCCAACCCCCCCCCCCCCCCTCCCCCCCCACCCCCCACCCCTCACCCCCCCCCCTTCCCCCCTCCCCACCCCCCCCCCCCTCACCCCCACCCCCACCCCCCCCCTCCACCCTCCCAACACCCCCCCCCCCCCCCCCCACCCCCCAACCCCCTCACCCCCACCCACCCCCCCCCCCCCCCCCACCACCCCCCCCCTCCACCCCCACCCCCCCCCACCCCCACCCCCCCCCCCCCCCCCACCCCCCCCCCCCCCCCCCCCCCCTCCCCCCCCCCCCCCCCCCCCCCCCCCCCCCACCCCCCCCCCCCCCCCACACTACCCACCCCCCCCCCCCCCCCCCCCCCCCCCCCCCCCCCACCCTCCCCCCCCCCCCCCCCCCCCCCCCACCTCCCCACCCCCCCCCCCACCCCCCCCCCCCCCCCCCCCCCCCACCCCCCCCCCCCCCCCCCCCCCCCCCCTTCCCCACCCTCCCCCCCCCCCCCCCCCCACCCCCCCACCCCCCCCCCTAGTGTAAGACATGGTACACTTCCCTGCATAATCACCTTGTCATGGAAATTATTTTAGAATGATGTCTTGCAACCTCTGTTATTAGTTGGTGTTGGTGTCCAATCTAATCCAGTATATGCCACCATTGTCCCCATGATTTATCTCTCATGTCAATTGTCATGTACCATTCATAGTCTGAATTTTCTGCTCCCACTTTTTTCCTTTGTTTACTAATGCTATAAAAAGGTACCTGAATGCCATAAGTTCTCCCTTTGCTAAAACACAACTTGCACCCCACATAGGTATTGTCGCTTTTTTGCACATGCTCCCGTTTATTCCAATTCCCTTTTTGGTCTTATTTTTATCCTGTCCCCTTTGTAGGTTGAATTTGCGTTCTCTCATTTGTTTGCTGGTACAATGTCTGAATAATCAGACAATTGAGGAATTGTATAATCATTGATCAATAAATATAAAAATAATATATAATAATCAATCAATAAATAAAAATAATCAACTCAATCAATAAATAATCAATCTTCCCCCTGTTTTATCACAATCCTGTGATAAATTAAACATCCCTTATAGGCCAATTTGTCACCCCCACCATTATCACTTATGTCGGATCCAAACCACGTCAGTTAAATGCCACAGTCCCCTTGATCAGCCCAATCCATAAAGTCAGAGAAATTGCCAAATTCTTCAATAACCTGAAGTCCATCGACCATAATTTCAAACCCCTGAATCCCAAAATCTAAAATGGCAATATCCTGATATTCAACATCCTGAACCTCATCGCCCTGACCTTCAACAACCCAATCTCCAATGTCCAGGACCCCAAAACCCTGTCCTCCACCATCTCCAATGTCAAAATCCTGATATCCAGACTCCTGAACCTCAGGGGCCAGAACCTCAACATCCCAATCTCCAAAGTCTGGAAGTCCAGAGCCCCAAAGTCCAAAATCCTCAACTCCCAACAGTTCCAGAAGGTCTCTCATACTATTGTCATCACTAGTCCCTATGCCATCAGACACTTGCATCACAGGGCTATCTGGAGGGACTCTATAGGTGCATTATAGGGTTGCTCCGCACTCCCTAGAACTCCCCATGTTCTAACTAATAGAGTCAGACACTTCCCTCTCTGTCCCCCTGTCGGCCTCCTTTTCTGATGATGTAGTGATATCTTTCATTACATCAAGCAGGGATCTTTCTGGTGCACTAGTGGGCCTAGTGTGTGATATGTGCACAAATGATGACTCTGTAGTTTGTGAGTCATCTAAGTAATATTTCAAAGTATACTCGTATAGTTTGGAGATTTTAAATGGGCCTTTCCAAGTTAGCTGATCCCAACAATGTTTCTGGTTTTTCACATAAATGTAGCCTCCAACTGTAAGTTTGTCTTTTACAGCCTGCAAAGGGGGCTCTGGAGATTTCTGGGTCAGCGTGACAATGTTATCTTGCAGAAACTTCACTGTAGTCACCAATGTTTTCATATAAGTTTCCCTAGCATCATCAGTGGCTGCTGGAGGTGGGAGCTCCAGTGAACGAGATAAGTTACTGGGCATGTGTCTCCCATACATCAGTTGGAATGGTGACATAAAAATTGGCCTGCTTGGTTCTCCTCTTATTGCCATCAAGGCTATAGGCAGTGCCTGTTTCCAATTCATTTTTCCAGACCTACACATGTGTGCCAATCTGTTTTTCAGTGTCTGGTTGAACCTTTCAATCACCCCTTGTGATTGCGGGTGTAACACTGCTCCAAAATGCTGTTTTATATTCAGCCTCTCACATAGTTGAGCCATTGTCTGGTTCTTAAAATGCGAGCCGTTATCAGATCTGATAACTCTCGCTGGGCCGTACCTTGGAAAGATCTCTGTCAAGAATACTTTGGCTACTGATTCTGCATTTGCTTTTGCCAAAGGAAAAGCTTCAGGCCATCGTGTGAGTGGGTCAATCATTGTGAGCACGTATCTACACCCATCCGCTTTCTTATCAGCAGTCATGTCGATGAAATCAATTACGATTTCTGCCATGGGCCATGGAGGCACTGGGTATGCTCCTATGCCTGCCTTCACCGCCCTTGCCTTAGAGAGCCCTTGACATATGTCACATGAGTCACATAGATGCTGGATGGTTGGTAGCATAAAAGGATGGAACATGTGCCGTCTTAGTTCTGAAAAAAGTTTTGAGCACTTTATGTGTGTTTCCTCATGCTTACTTTGAATGATCTGTAGTAGTTTTTTAGTAGTCACGCACGGTTTACCAAATGTATCATAGAATACTCCTTCACTGTTTTTAATGGCCCCTGCAGTTTTCCATGCTGTCACATCATACAGTGAGGGATTTTCTTGCAATATGTGTGGACTGTTCTCTTCTCTTTCTTCCACTGGTGCCTCTGTTCCCTCAGGATTGTCTTCAATAACTGCCTGCAGAGCCGTACCTATCCTGTCATACCCAGCTGTCATTTTAGCAACTCTATCAGCAAACTCATTGCCCTTTGCCACGAAGTCTCTGGCTCGAGTATGTGCTCTGCACTTGACCAATGCAGTTTTGTGACGTACATTCTTGATTTGGTCTGCCACCTTCTGCCATAATTCCAAATGTGTAGGTCTCAAATTTTTTGTTGTGATGAAATTGTCATGCAATACCCAGATTGGCAAGTGTAAATGCACTGTAGAATGCACATACTCAGAGTCAGTATATATTGTGATAGGTCCTTCTGGCCTGTTCTCCAAAGCCAGGCTAAATGCTACTAATTCTGCATACTGAGCTGACTTCCCTGCCAGCGCCTCTGCCTTCAGTATGTTAAAATCAGGATTGGTAACAGGTGATGTTTCCCTGTCATGGATGACTGCTGCTGCGCTTGCAACCAATGCTCCAGTTTTGTCTCTATGCGAGTGTCCATCTATAAAAATAGCATGTGACCCCTCAATCTCTGACCTGCCCAACTTTTTGATCAAGTTTGTTTCTTCACTATGTTGGACCTCACACTGGTGAACTGGGCCTGAGATAGTAAATGGTAATATTGGAGAGTCTGTTGGTTCAAATGTAACTTGCATATTTACGAGTAACAGATGAATCTTTTGAGACATTGAATTTGTCAATGCAAATGTGTTCCCCTTCAAAGCTGCATACATGTTATGTGGCGTTCTCACTATCACCTCTGAGTCCAAGATTATGTGTGATGTGGAAACCAGTGAGTTCTTAAGGGCCATTACATAACGTGCACATGAGAAGTGGTGTGCTTCTGATCCTCTGAGATTGGAGCTGAATATGTACAATATTTTGGGTGCATCTGCTATTTTCTGAAACAACACTGCACAATAATAATCTCCAGTCATTGTGATTTCCATCATAATTGGGTATTTCCTATCAACGCAGTGTAAAGTCTGCACCATTGATAGTTTTTCTTTGATTGATTGAAATGCCTGTGCTTGCTCCTCAGTCCATGTCAAGATCCCATCATAATCTGTGTAGCCTACATCAATCAACATTTTCTGCAAGGGCTTCATCATGTAGGAGAAGTTGAAAATATATTTCCTGATATAGCTTGCCGTATTTATGAAGGACATCATTTCTCTCACTGTTTTTGGTTTGGGAAACTCTGATAGTTTGATCAGTCTTGACTGGTCACACATGACTCCTTCTGAAGTGAGATAAGTCTTTAGAAAAGATACTCTCTGTCTTACAAATGCACACTTGTCATAATCAATTTTGAATCCCTTTTCTGCCACTACTCTAAGGACTTTCATAGTGATTTCTGTACATGCCTCTTCAGATACTCCTGAGATTAGAATATCATCTACATAGGCCAGAACAAAGTTTTTGTCTGGGTCAATGTCAATCTCAGAGAGCACGTCCTGGATCAATTTGTTAAAGATCCCAGGTGCAGCGCAGTGACCCTGTGGTAAACGCGTATACACATACTTCTTCCCCTCAACTGTGAATGCCAGATACTTCCAGCACTCAGGGTGCAATGGGATGCAGAAGTATGCGTTACATAAATCAATGGTGGTAAACCATTTATGAGACGCTGGTAAGAATGCCATTGCTCTGTGTGGGTCAGGTGTGTCCAATAGTTTGTCTTGTGATCTCTCATTTAATTTCCTGAAGTCATTCACTAGTCTGCAGTATGGTTTTCCTGCCTTGTCTACTGCCAACATTGGAATATTATATGGCGTATACTCTGGCGCTTCGACAATGATTCCTGCCTTCACCAATTCTGAGACTGTGTACTTCAATTTGTCCTGGAGTCCTGCTTTAATGGGATACTGCTTCTGATAACACACTTGGTCATCAAACAGTAGTTTTATTGGCAGGATTCCCTCTGCTTTCCCGATGTCAAATGCATGTTTTGTCCATAGCCTCTCAGGTAAAGTGTGTTTCTGCTCTTCAAATAGGTTTGAATTGGTATTTTCCCTGCCATGTGTCCTTGTTCTCTGTACTTCCTGCATAGTGGCTTTATATTCAATTGGGTCATTGAATTTGATCACATAACCTCCTGTGGTTTCACTATGCAGTACAATGTATTGTAATTGTCCCTGTTGCACACACATTGGTTTTAAATCACTGGCCAATATCAGTGCACACATTGGACCTAAATTCTTGGCCTCTGCTTTGGACTCAATCATCATTGTTACATGTGGTGTGGATTTGTCAACCCTAAATATTGGGAGTGTGTCTGTGTTTGAATTTGTGTTAGCAAACGCCACCCCATGTTCTCCCACCACTACGCAATTCAGCTTTTGTGTCACTTTAGGATCTCCTACTCCCTGTGTCTGGCATGCACTAGTCTTGTACATTTCCCACTCAATCACATAGTTGTCATATGATTGTTGATCTTCTGGATGCCTAAAATATGCCTGTGTACAGTGTACGACATCTACTGGAGACCGCAAGTCCTTGCATCTCTCAGTAATCCATGGCAAAAATGGCTTAACTAGTTCATGCAATGTGTCATTGGATTCTTCACTACCCTCTAGCCAAAAAACTGTGGCTATGTTATCGTCAATTTTTGGTGTTTTAAGATTTTGTTCCTGCTGGAGCAACAGTT